AGACAGGGTTTTGACATGTTACCCAGGCTAGTCTCGAACTCCTGGGCTCAAGCGATCCTCCTGCCTCAGCCTCCCAAAATGCTAGGATTATAAGAGTGAGCCAAAGCACCCAGCCCTCAGTGACATGTTTTGAGCAAAAACATTAAGACAAATAACCAATGTAACCTCTACAGATTGTAGCTAATTATTTTGTTTGCTCTCTAGAATGTAATACACACATACACATATATTCTCTCACAAATATTACTGGAGAAACAAGAGTTTTCTAGTATCTAATATATAGAAATATAGTGCATGAGTGGCTATAAACATCATGCATGGAAGTGTTCCTGAGAATTTGATGTACGTCTTTATATATTTTCTTGAGGTAGAAAAGTACAAAAAAGTAAAATTGACTAAAATCATGCTAGAGAAAGAAAACACGTAATCATTTGGAAGGAATAAAAAATACGAATGTATAGAAAATATAAGACCAAAATGATCATTTTTTAAAAGTTGCTTTTTATATTCACATATTTCCTCAAAGCTCTGCATTATGTTCCCTGAATCCAAAGAGTCTGTTCTATAAGGAATGTCTGATATTTTATCAGGGCATTGACCATTCATTTGCCACCAATTTCAAGTCTGAAAATTTAGAAAGTTTAAAATGAGTTTAACATTTTATTAGACATTTGAATTTCATGCCATTAGCAAAGACACGTATTCAGTTTATTACATATATAATTTTAATTTGAAATTATATACAATAAACTTCACTAGAAATGCTGTCTACCTGAGAATATTTTCATATGGCACACTTATTACTGTATGATAAATGCATTTTGCCTGTGCTGTATTATAACTCAAGGAGAGTGATTCTGTGAGTTGTTTCCTCAACAAGCCAGGAGCTGAGCCAAGATTTTAATCCAGGTCTTCTAATGTTAAACACCTTTCATTACACAACCATTGTCTCCCTAACCAGGCTTTGGTCTATTAATAACACTGAAACATCTCTATTTTCTCCTATGCAATTGATTTTTTTTCCTGTTAAATGAAAGTAGAGTCAATGAACAAGTGTAAAAGGAAATAAAATACAAACCCAACTAAGCAGTAGAAAGTATTACTCATATATTATATTCAGCTGTCACACAAACCACATCAGCTCAGCAGTCACAGTAAAGAAAGGTATCACAATCAGAGAAATAGTCACACTCAAAAAGCAATATTTGCTCCAATTCCCTAATAATTTATTTGAACAATGCTTGGAACAAATAGAATGATCACCAGTCATTGCAAGTGTAACTAATGCTTATTAAAAGATAGATGTAAGTCAAATGCCTAGTTACAACATAAATCTTGATCACATTTGAACACATCAAAAACTACTGGAAACAAATTCTACCTCCCTGTTCTCTGCAACTTAGTGAAAGCCACTTTCTGTATTCTCATCCTTTTTTCTTTTCTAAAATGAAGTGAACAAGAACCTGAGGATTGCTTCTCAACTGTTTCGTCTAGCGAGGCAATCAAACAGTGAGAACCAATAACATCTACAGCTTTTCAGTGCGGGCTCAGAATATGACACGCAATTATATATATTTATTCCACAAACGACATTTGCTATCTTCTTCCCCTCAGGCAACAGACACTACACAGTATTTCCTTCACAGAAGCACAGTATTTTAAATAATGTTCACTGGACATTTTGTTTTCTCTTTTTTACCACTTTTCAGATTTTATAGATTAGAGTTGAAAAGGCAACACTTAAAAATAAAGTATGGTGTGGAAATGGTTATCTGTAAATGTGAGTTCATTATTCCCCTTTGACAGCCACAAGTAAGGTCAAAAAATATGTTCTGTACATGTTTGACATAAAGAAATATTTTCCAGATGACCTAGAGATTATGGACTTTCTGCAAAAGCAATTTGATTGTTAAGGGCTTGTATATGCACACATATGCAGCTACTCCCCAATCTGTAAACGGTTCTACTCCCAAAATTTTTTTGTAAGTTTCTTCTAAAGCTTGAACTGCATATGCATATGTGTGTGTGTGTGTGTGTGTGTGTGTGTGTGTGTGTGTGTGTGTGTGTGTGTGTGTGTGTGTGTAGCCAGAGAGAGCCAGAGCTAAGGAGAGAGAGAATGTAGGTATTCTTAACCTGCTCCTTAGCTTCACTTCCTCTACTCAAAATATGGCCCATGGCCAGCACCATCAGCTCACCTGGGAGTAATAAGTTTCTCAAGCCCCACCCAGACCTATTGAGTGAGAACTTGCATTTGAACAAGATTGCCCAGATGCACACTATGGTCTAAGAAGCACTGGCTTATACCTCTCAACCCCACAGTCTCTCAAAGTCTTCCCAGCTATGTTAGCTCGGTTTATCTAAAACCGAATGTCATCTACAAATGCTGCAAGGCAGCCCCTCTGCTACACACACAGCCTCTTTCTCCTCCTGTTTTCCTGTGGTGCTGAGTGCACTCGGAGCATCAGGTGTCATCCAGTCACCTAAGCAGAGACCTGGCAGCTGTCAGATAATTCTCCCTGTGCTCTTTGAGGGCAGAAACCACGTCTATGTTGCTCTCCATTATGTCCTGGTACCTTATCACTAGTTGGAACTTAATGAGCATTTGTTGAATGAATAAAAGTGGTAACTATGCAGACAGGTCCCTGCAAGTCTCCTCAGTAGTCCCTAGGGCCTTGATTTCATCTCCTATCAGTACATTTTACTACCAGACGGATACTTGTAAAACACAAATAAGATGCTCCACTCCTACCCACATCCTCCATGTCTCTTTTTTTCTCTCTCTCTTTTTTTCCTTTCTGTAGACTTTGGGAGTACAGGGCAGTTCGTTACACACATACAGTGCAGACTGGTGAAGTGTGGACTTTTGGTGTACTCATCACCCCAGTAGTGATCATCATAGCCAGTAAGTCATTTTCCTCCCTTACTCTTTAAAACTCTTAAAGTCTTGGGAGGCCAAGGTGGGCAGACCCTGAGGTGAAGTGATCAAGACCATCCTGGCCAACATGGTGAAACCCTGTCTCTACTAAAAATACAAAAATTAGCTGCACGTAGTGGCACATGCCTGCAGTCCCAGCTACTCAGGAGGCCGAGGCAGGAGAATGCTTGAACCCGGGAGGCAGAGGTTGCAGTGAGCCGAGATTGTGCCACCGCACTCCAGCCTGGCTCCCAGCGACAAAATAAGACTCTAACGAAACAAAAAAAAACACCTCTTAAAGTCTCCTATAGCCTAAAAATCAAGATGTAGCACCTTAGAATGGCCACTGCCTATTCTTCTAGCATGTTATTCTTACTCACTGCCTCACCCACTGCCTCCACCCCATCCCGTGTTCCTCCCTTACTGAGTATAAGCTGCCCATTGCTACTAGCTGAATTCCTAACTCCTCAGCTCAAGTTGGGATAAATTAAATCCATACTGTCTGAAGTATAAAGCATGTACCCTTCACAAAAGCCCTATTAGGCCTTAAAAATACCGAAATTAATCATAAAAATTAAAAATATGCTCCTACAAACAGCTATTAAGTACAAAAACCAAACACCAATATAAAAACTACCTCTAAATTTTATTGTGGGGGGTTCTGTGGGGACTAACTGGCTAGAAATTATTACGATACAAATCCAAATAAATTAGGTCTGAAACACCTTCTTAATATCTGATATGTTCCTAATCATGGAACTTTTTCATCTTTCATCCAAAGATATTCCTAAGTTTTCCAAAATATAGACAAATGCCTTCAAAATTTTAATAGCTCAATTGCTGTGAATGAATTCCCTTTTTTAGTTTTTTTCCAGGAAAATACATTAGAAGGATAGGTTTCATGCTGGCTCCAGTTGAGTCTTAAAAAGTAAATAACACTTGGTTCCTACTAGAGGGGTCTAAAAACAGGATAAAACAAAAGGCCACCACTCAAGCTGTATAAACTGTGGGTGTCTGAACACGTACTTCCAAAGCTGAAATCTCTTAACATTTCCACATTTCAATGCCTTTTTCAGATTCCATGTGCCTTCAAATATACTACAACCCAACCCCCACATATGAGACAGGCACATCATACTTAATCCTCTTAACATGGCTAAACTATATATATATTAAATATATATATTATGTATACACACACACAAGGTACATTAGATATTTTGATTCAGGCATGCAATGCATAATAATCACATCATGGAGAATGGGGTATCCATCCCCCTAAGTATCTGTCCTTTGTGTTACAAACAATTCAATTATATTCTTTTAATTATTTTAAATTAAATTATTTTGCTATCAAATACTAGGTCTTATTCATTGTTTCTATCTTTTTTTGTACCTGTTTACCATACCCTCTGCAAATGACTATTCCCAGCCTCTGGTAACCATCCTTCTATTCTCTGTATCCATGAGTTCAATTGTTTGGATTTTTAGACTCCATAAACAAGGGAGAATATGTTGATGTCTGTCTTTCTCTGCCTGGCTTATTTCACTTAACATAATGATCTTCAGTTCTACCCATGTTGTTGCAAATGACAGGATCTTATTCTTTTTTATGACTGAAGAGTACTTTAAGGTGCATGTGTACCACATTTTCTTTATCCATTCACCTGCTGATGAACACTTAGGTTGCTTCCAAATCTTGGCTATTGTGAACAGGGCCGCAACAAGCACGATTCTGCAGGTATCCCCTTTAATACAATAGTTTTCCTTTCCTCTTGGTATATACCCAGAAGTGGGACTGCTGGAGCATATGGTAGCTCTATTTTTATTTTTTTTGTGGAACCTCCAAACTTTTCTATTTAGTGGGGTTCTACTAACTGGCATACTTTAATGAAGTTTTTCTTGACTTATTTCCAATGCAAACTACCTGCTCCCTCTTTTATGTCCTCATCATCCTTTATAAAGACTATCACAGTTACTATTAACAATTTATCTACTATCTGTCTCCTACCAAACTCTAAAGCCTTGGGTGCAGGGTCCCTGCATTCCTCTTTTTATCCCAAATATTTATCAAGTTACTCCATACTGAATTAACAAATCTCTAATGTTAGTAAAACAGCATGAAGAAGGGCCACACACGGACAGTCCTGTTGAGGAGGTGAAACTTGCTAATGTCACACAAAATGGGATCTGGAGATAGAAGACAGGTGAAAACTGGCAGCTGATGCCCATCCTAACAATACCATGAAAGGCTCATGAAGAAATGAGGTAGAAGATTGGATGGCAAGAAAGAAAGAAAAATGAGGAAAAGAAAAAAGACAGGAAAGACCATGCTGTGAGAGGCCACTGGTGTAAGCGCTGAAAACTGATATATATCACATGTATCACACACACATGCATCACACTCTTTTCCTATTAATAAGTCTGTCCACATATAATGCATCATCAATGATCCTACCATAAATTTCTTAACTATATAATGATCACTGTAATAAAAATATTAGTAAAGCAACTTTGATGAGTTGACTACAGTGAAATTTACATTACATAATGAATTTAGTATATATAATCTGACATTAAAATATGCCTAAAAATAGCCCCCAAAACAGAAAATATGAAGAAATCATTTGTATTGCCAAATATTTGAGATGCGTCCAATCTCAGCACAAACTAAATGGAAAGCCCATTACATGGTCATCAAATGTAGCAAAGTAGAGTAGCGTTATTCAAACTCAACTGTTTTGTTCCAGACACTAAGAATAAGTACAGATACTAAGAATTAACAACCGGGCATGGTGGCTCACTCCTGTAATCCCAGCACTTTGGGAGTCCTAGGCAAGCAGATCACGATCTCAGGAGATGGAAACCATCCTGGCCAACATGGTGAAACACTGTCTCAACTAAATATACAAAAAATTAGCCAGGCATGGTGACACGTGCCTGTAGTTCCAGATACTTGGGAGGCTGAGGCAGGAGAATCGCTTGAAACTGGGAGGGGAAGGTTACAGTGAGCCAAGATCCTGCCACTGCACTCCAGCCTGGCGATAGAGCGTGACTCCATCTCAAAAAGAAAGGAAGAATTAACTTATATCTTCTGCTTCCAAATACTGCATGTTCTCACTCATAAGTTAAATGATGAAAACACATGGACACATGGAGAGGAATGACACACACTGGGGCCTATTGGAGGGTGGAGAAGGAGAGAGAAGATGAGGAAAAATAACTCATGGCTACTACTACTGATATCTATGTGATAAAATAATCTGTACTACAAACTCCATGACACGTTTACCTACGTAACAAACCTGCACATGTACCCATGAACTTAAAAGTTTTAAAAAAGAATAAACTGAGAAATTTTGGTTGCAAGTCAATGTTTTCTTGTCTATTAGATCTAATAATAAAAATTGGGGGCATGCATTTTTTGTGTCTTTGTATACAATTTTACAAATTAATTTAGCTGTATTTTATGAAAGAATCAATCTGCAATGGATTGGAAGAAAAAAGTGAGCAGGAGGTACAGGAGGGGGAAGAAGGCAGGAAGAGGAAGACTGATTCATCACCACAGAGAATTTGAGAAGTTCTGCAATACTAGATGTAACTCCACCAGAAAGCCCATTCAGTAGGTGGCCAACGCTGGTCTCACACTAGATGTTGAAATGGGCTGAGAATTCTTAGTAAAAGATTGGGGCACTTGGCTTTTGTTGTCTAGTCTGCTCACAGATATGGAGGATTTGGGGGCAGTGCCTTATTGACAACTTCTTTTATTTATTAGATGGCTGCATTTGCTACTATTTTCTAGAGAGAAATATAAATGCCCCTCCTTTAAGAATTTTTTTTTTTGAACTTGATGAGTTTAAAGTAAACACATCCTAAGGTCCATTTCAACCCTAAATCTCTGAATCTCTGATTCTATTGTTATTGCTGGAAAGTGTGCTATATTGATTCCACTACAGTTTTAAAAATACTGTGTTTGACACTGGAATCAGGGAAGGATTTTTTAGTTAAACTTAAAATCTGCACTATATTAGAGCCCTCAAATCCAGGAAATAAGAGAGGAAAACATCACTCGGGAAAGAGAAATCGTTCCTGTACCTGAAAAAGGGCAGCAGAAGGAAAATGGAAGGAGGGGAGGGAAGAAAGCAAGCAATGTGATTTGCCTAATAAATCAGGCACCCAATTAATGAAATGTGAACTGCTAGCAATAAATTAGGCAGTGGGAAGGCTGAAGTTTTATTTGAACAAAACACAGTCCTTAAAGCTGGAAAATTAGCAAACCAACGTGATGCAATTCTGAGGAAGTGAGAGAATGGGATACAGTACTTCAGCTGCTTAAGACAGAGTGACCTCATCATAGTTTTAAATAGACTGTCCATTATAAGCATAAATTATCACTCCATGAAGCTTTGATAGACTAGATGCTGACCTGGAAATCAACAATCAAGCATATTGCAGAAAAAATTTTAAAGTGAACCTTTTCATTTATAACCAGCATGGTGCCGAATAGAGAAAAAAAGCAAAACCATTGCAATTTTTAAAATTGCTATTGTTAAAATATAATTAGCTGAACTAGCAATGAGAAACACAATACTTCACCTGTCTTAAAAATCACTCTGTACTCAGCCATGAAGATGTGTTGGATACCAGTTCTTATTTGTAAAGTGTAAATAGTTGAATAGAAAAGAAAGTTACAGAATTTTGTTTTGCAGTTTAATATATACACACACACACACACGCCCAAATTTAATTTATATTTTAACAATAGCATATATACGTGTGTATGTGTGTGTCTGTGTGTGTATACACACTTCGCCAAAAAAGTATTCTCAGTTGGTTATCATTATTTGTGAAAGTCACAGTATTCTTACATAAACAATACCACTTAGTCCATACACTTAATATCATTTAAAATCCTGAAATATCTATCGGTAACAAGATAATTCATTTCCTCCCAAAACATTCTGATTCCAGTAGTTTAAGAATACTATTTGTTTTTCTCTAATGACTGAAGCCCTTCCCTTTACTTTGAGCATTGTCTTTAATAAATAGCTACACGTTTAAAAAATGAATGCATATAAGAGAATCACTTTAAAATGTAGTTAAAAGAATATAGTTGGTAATTTATTACTCCTTAATAACTAGAAGGAAATGTATAACTCTTAAGAGTCAGTTATTCTGGGAGAAATATAAAATTTTACCTTTAAAAGGTATTAGGCAATATTTGCATTATTATGAATATATATTTTCTCTGATAAGCCAAATAGTCTATTAGGATATTTCCCTTCTTGTAAAACTTTGTATTTTTCCTGAATTTAACAGTTGCCTGTCTTTTTCTCCTTTGCTTAGAATCCTAAATTCTCCAACTTTAAAACCACTTTCAGTATGAATTTTCATATGATCAAAGATATCAATTGATCTACATTTTTGGGGACCTCAGTGCAAATGCTCCAATTTGGATTTATTGTTCCCTAGAGCTGTCCAACAGCTATTATTTTGTATATTTCTTTCACTTCTAGTTTTCATATTGCTGCACGTATATCCTATGGATATATGTCACTTGGATTCTTAATCTTTCATATACCACATATGTATTTTTCTCAACTAGAGGGCTCTGTGATCTGGTCTTCATGCCTAGGGTTCTGAAATTTGTGATAATGTTCCTAGCCATTTTTCATTAATTTCACAATGCATTTGGCATAGGGAACCACCTTTCCTTCAGTCCTGGAACTTAATTTTATTAACTTATTTTATTATTTTATTTGCTCTGCCCTTTTTCTGAAAACTGTATAAGTTGTATACTATATGTTCTCCTTGTTCTATTCTCTAGAATCCTTCCTTAATGTTCAATTGCTTCTACTGCTTTATTTTACTTCTGCCTCCAATTTTTTCATTTTCACAAGGTCTCTCTTATTCTTCAACAGTTTTGACAGTAATAGAATCACATTATTTTTGTGTATGCAACTTTTATTTCTGTAAGTTAACATTCTCTCTTGCTTATTTAAATCATTTTATCTGATCCATACATATTAATTTAGTTTCTCCAAATTCCTTTATAGCGGGTTTTCCCCTTCTTGTGGCATATTTATTTCTTGTCAGATCACACTCCAAACACTCGGTGATTCTTATATATATTTACAAGTGAGAAAATAAAAAGCCAGGAACACTATGCACAAGGCCTGTTGCTCGTCATCCAAAAGGTTTCAATGCAGAGTGAACAGATTTTCAAATGTGATGACTCTTCGAATGTCACCATCTCTTTCCTCTGGAGCCAGTTTCTCCAGCAAATTAGCTTTCACTTATCCGTAGAGATTTGTGAGGGGGTAGTTATTAGGCCTGTCTGCTGATGATATTGGAAGTAATTGATGGGATATCTCACTGTGTATTTTGAGACTCCATCCTCAGCTGTGCATGGTGTTCCAATGTATAGAACCTCTCTACGTTCAATCTCTCAATAGAATAAACCTCACTCTGACTAGGGTAAGGGCACTCCCATAGTCAGTGTCCGCTCATGCAGGGAAAGCTATGACATATAGCTACATTTATAACATTTAGCAAAACTATAACATACAGCAAAGCTATAATAACCCCCACTTAGACTTTGAACAAAATTCCTTGTTTTGCCCCAGATTTCACACCTGGCTTCCGCACTTCCTCACACTGCCAATTGCTGTCCTCTCCCAGGTTCTGAATCATCACTCTTCTTCCTGCTTGTTGGCACCTCCCCCTGCAAGCACTAGGTATGCAACTTTTTTCTGCTCTAGAAACGCATAGTTCTAATTGCTGTTATCCATAAATTCATAGCATTTCTTTATTTTTTAAATTGCAATTTAGGTTTTGGGGTACATGTGAAGAACATGCAAGATTGTTACATAGGTACACACATGGCAGTGTGATTTGCTGCCTTCCTCCCCTTCACTTATATCTGGCATTTCTCCACATCCTATCTCTCCCCAACTCCCCACCCCTTGCTGTCCCTCCCCTATTTCCCCCGATAGACCCCAGTGTGTGATGTTCCCCTCCCTGTGACCATGTGTTCTCATTGTTCAACACCCACCTATGAGTGAGAACATGCAGTGTTTGCTTTTCTGTTCTTGTGTCAGTTTGCTGAGAATGATGGTTTCCAGGTTCATCCATGTCCCTACAAAGGACACAAACTCATCATTTTTGATGGCTGCATAGTATTCCATGGTGTATATGTGCCACATTTACCCTGTCCAGTCTATCATTGATGGGCATTTGGGTTGGTTACAGGTCTTTTGCTATCATAACATTTCTAACTGATACCTCCTCTCCAATCCTCTTTATTCATGTGTGTTCCTATCCTTTTCTCCCCCTTATTTTAGTCTTAGATATTCAGAAGAGTACAGAAATAAACATATTTGCTTATGCTACTATGTTGAACTGGAATCTCAAGATTCTTCTGTTAGAAAATGTTATTCCCAATTAAATCAAGTTATCTAAAATTTGTCACATAAAAGAACTATATTAGTCTTATTATTCATTCACCCCATTATTCAAAATAGAAATTTGCTTTTTTTTTTTTTTTTGGTCCGTTAGTATCAAACAACAAAAGCCAGCCAATCAACAAAACACGTGCCACATATTTATGAACCATTCTGCGAACTAGAATGCTTCCTATAATCTCCTTGGTTATGGAGGGAGGAACAAGAGTCTCAAATAAGCTGCTCTACTTTATGTGTCCACTTTCTACATACAAGACACTAAACCTATCAATCACCTACGAAATATAAAGTACCACTCCATCTCTTTGGCATCCATCGGAAATTCTCTGGCTAGTCTTCCTTCGTAAAATGGCAGTGCCACATAACAAGAATTGAATTCACTGGAGAAAAGGTATGTTTTATGGGACAAAAGGATATGAGAATAACAAAAAGCATTAAGAGTGAGTGTTTTTCCTTGCCATTCACCATTCCTCTGGCATCCTCACCTCCTTTGTAAAAAATCTCTTCCAAAGTGCTGAAGTCGCAGATGAGCTTATCATAGCACAGGAGCAAACAAAAGAAACTCCAAAATGAAAAAAGAGAGACAGGAAATACTTGACGTTGGATTTCAATTAAGGTTCAAGCCTACTCCATGTGATTCACTCTCTACTGGTAGTTTTAACAAAACCAATTGAGAATTTACCATGATCCACTCAGTTGGCTGATAAAGTCAATAAAAAAGAAAATGTAAGAACCACAGCGGTTCAGCATTGATTCCATGGGGATTTCCCTTCCTTCAGAATAAAAGCTTTCATTAATCCAACTCAGAAAACAATAGAAACATAAAACAAAACAAAACAAAACAAAACAGAAAAGCACATCTCATAAAAATCTTAGGCTGTGGATAAAGAAAAGTTTTGTGAGATGTACATTAATCACACGCATACGGTGAATTCAAAGAAGGGTCTGGTTATCCAACAAACTAAGGCAACCACAAGCAACATACATTGAAGTATGGGAGGTCTCCAAATAATAAAAGCATAGCTGTCTCCAAATTTCTGGTTGCAAAGGTTAATATTAAGGCATGTTTTCTGTTCAGAAAAACATTGATTGAGGTGCCTGATAAGTTTATCAAATATGTTCAATGATAAAGGATGCCTAGGCAGGGTTAAATGACTTGGTATGTGCACATTCAAATTCTTAATAGGAAAGAAAATGCTAATAAAAGAATTGCTACAATATGAATTTGATTTCTAAATGCAGGACCACGTATAAAACACCCCATGAATGTGTTAAAAGTCAGCCAATTATAAGTAACACAAAGGATAAGAATGGGACCGCCTCTCCCATTACATTTCTAAACCTCCCCTAACATTTATCATACAGGTCTACCTACTTGGAAGCACTGTCAAAATGATTGACTTGCAAATGAGAATGGCTCACAGTGCTAACAGAGCTTGCTCCTCAAATGCAGATCAGATAATGACAGCTTAAGCACTAAGTGTATATGCTGTGGAAATTAAATGAAAACAAGGTATGACGCCTTCTCAGAAAAGCAAAATACTTTAAAATGTATGTTGAGCAATGAAACAAACATTTAATCCATGAGTTCCTCATAACATTGTAAGATTTTGATTTGTTGATTTGGAGAAAAGACTCATGAGCTCTGATTTACCAAAGTAAAATGCTTTGGTATAAAGCTAATTTTAAAGAGGTGTTTGATAAGTAAATACTTGTAGGTGCCTAGCATGTGATAAACCATGTAAGAGATGGTTATTTTATTTTAACTATTATCTAGTGATTGCTAAAGAAATTATTCAGTTTAAAGGCTGCTGTTTTCCAATGATGACAGCAGTTTAGAGTACAAACACTCTCACCATGTTTTCCCTTTATGCCCTAGAGCATGTTTTCACATTATACCTAATAGCTTTAATCTAACTGCACAATAATTTGTTTGTGTGTTCTCCTGTAACACTTAATTATGAGCTCCTTGAGATTAAGGAAATATTGGACACCTTTGTGTCTCAGACATTTACCTTGATGTATATGAAAAGTATGAAAGGCATTCCATGAATGGATAATGACATATACCCATACATTAGGAAACCTAGGTATGAATGTCAATTTCATTTCTATACTGGACAATGGACTATCTTCAAGCTCTCTGCTTGGTAATAGTCTAGATTATGAATTTTAAAAGTCTCCACTTAAAGAGCAAAGTTCATCAACTGAAGGTTACAGCTGAAGCACTTCGTTAAAAGAAATTCTGATAATGAATTTGGGTACAGTTTAGAAGAAATATACCATGGATGCAAAAAAGAAGATAAACCTGGTTATAGTCACTATTCTAAGCCTGGATTTAAAAATCTGACAGTGTCCTCAAATATATACAAGAGAGCACCCCTGTGAGAAAATCATTGAGACTGCTTTGATTATGAACAAAAGACAGCACACATATGAATGTTATTTATTTTTTTCACATATACACACATTAGCTAGGGGATCAGGAAACAGGCTCTTTGTCCAAACATCTTGATCCTATATATCATCACCAAAGTGTCTGCAGAACAGTGGTATGCACAGATAAGGGGATGGAGCAGTGACTCCCTATTCACTCTTAGTAATGACTGACTACATACACGGTTAAAAAAATTGAAGAAAACATGTTTGCTCATATAATATCCTAATAATATATAATATTAATACCTTTTAAAATAAAAGCATATGCATTTTTAAAACTTCACAACAGCCAAACTTAGGTACACTTTTAGTCTTAAATAATGTAACATTCTATAAAGAATATTAATATTTATTTGTTGACTTAAATTTCCAAAACTGAATGATTTACTTGTAAAATAAAAAAGTAATATTATTAATTAAATGATTGAATATGTAGAGCCTTATCTATTAATTGGCAGTAATTATAATTTTCAGTAGCTAATAATTTACTGATTTAAAAAGCAAAATAAATAATGAATATAATTGCACTGGGATGATTAAAGAGTATTTTCTAAACTTATTTTATTCTAAGAATATACTTCATTGTTTCCCTAGAAAACAGAGCTATAATTATGGTTAAGACAATTACCCACAATATGATCATATTCATTTTTTATGGCAAAGCAAAAGAAAGAAAATCTTCACACAACTTCACAGTAACATCCTGTTCATAACGAACAACATATCTATTTAAATAAATAAAAACTTAATTTATTGTTTTAAAAGGATGTAATGTTTTAAAATTGAGATCTTAAAAAAAATCAAACAACTTGTTTTTAAAAAGGACATAGCTAGCTGCCAAAAAAAAAACAAAAAAACCTTCCCTCTTTCTCATCCATCAAAATAATTAGGAAATTAAAGCTCTTTAACCATCTTTCAAACCAGCAATATGCTGTTTTCAACTTTGAACATGCATACCCTCAAATTCTTCCCTATTTCTACTGCTATGACATACAAGTCTAGGTTCTCATCAACTTCAGAACTGAGTCACCAAAAAACAAGCAAACAAAACAAAACAAAAAACACAACGAATTAGTCTAGCTATGTAAACTTTTGGCTTTACAATTTAATCCCAGACCAATCTTCTTCTATAAAATGATTTTCTATATAACATCAAAAGCAGCCTCCTCATTTCTCAGCGTGTGCACGCACACCCACACCCCCCCACCACCTTGTTTCCTATCTAATTAGGCCCTAATTTTTTTTCCTGAACTCCATTCTCTTGCATTCTCTGCTACAGTTATGCTTATGCAACTTTATTTGCCTTTGATAGTAGCTAAACAAGGCAACTAAGGTCTCCTAAATTCCAGTCCAATTCTCCTACCAAAGACAGAACTGATGGTCTACGTGTTGCCATTTTACAGGGGGTTGGAGGGTGAAAAACACAAGAATATCATGTGGGGACTATAAGATAGTAACTATATTTCCCCAGCCTGGTCATCTGTTCCTAATCCTTAGCCTAACCATGTTTTGTCCTTCATGAATTGCTCTGAACTACTTTCACTGTAAGAGGGTGCATTGCTGTGCTTAATTGATGTGATCACTTTGATTTTGATCTGTTTTCTAGGCCAGTCTCACCTACAATGGCTTGATTTGAAAGCATGTGTCAACTACATATTTGATGCATTACATTGTATTATTTCCAGGGATAAAAGAAATCATTGAGAAAAAAAAAGCCAAAAAGAAAACAATTCTTCTTTGCAATTCTGCTGGCCTACAAAATGTATTTGTTTATCTCTGGAGATATCAGAACCATCAACAAAAGACATTTTAGAGGTAGGAAAACCAGAATAGAGTTCACTTGCTTCAATGTAAATGCATCAAACTTCAAACTTAAAATTGGAAAACAACCAAGAACAAACTAAAGGTAAGCATGAAGTTCATATCTACAATGTAATCCTAGGCATTCATTAGAAAAAATAAAATATGTGCCTGATATTTTGCACAGTACATAGAAAAGGTTGCATAGTGCATTGTTTGTGAAATAGCTATTTGGAGAACAGTACATGTAATATAATTCTGTCATTTGTATAATTTTTAGAAGACAACATTTTAAGCCCGGCACCATGACACATGCCTGTAGTCCCAGCTACTTGGGAGGCTGAGGCAGGAGGATTGTTTGAGCCCAGAAATTCTAGGCCATAATACACTATGATCGTACCTGTGAATACCCACTGCACTCCAGCCTGGGCAATATATCGAGATCCTGTCTTTTTTCAAAAAAATCTATTATATGTATGCTTATATATGATAGAAAATGTATAGAGGGTATATACAGAAGACTACACCAGTTACACTGGAGTGGATAAGGAGAAATTTCCAATTTTCACAATAAAGTGCCTAGACATACTAATTATTATTATTTTTTTTTTTTTGAGACGGAGTTTCGCTCTTGTTACCCAGGCTGGAGTGCAATGGCGCGATCTCGGCTCACCGCAACCTCCGCCTCCTGGGTTCAGGCAATTCTCCTGCCTCAGCCTCCTGAGTAGCTGGGATTACAGGCACGCGCCACCATGCCCAGCTAATTTTTTGTATTTTTAGTAGAGACGGGGTTTCACCGTGTTGACCAGGATGGTCTCGATCTGTTGACCTCGTGATCCACCCGCCTCGGCCTCCCAAATTGCTGGGATTACAGGCGTGAGCCACCGCGCCCGGCCCACATACTAATTATTTAATAAAAGCATATTTTTAAATGAACACAAATTGGCTAAAGGCTATGCTGCTGGTCATCTCAGGAGTTTCATGCTATTGTCTGTTACTGTCACACTTTAAAGTGATCTCAAATATTCCAACTAATGGTTGAAAAACTCATGAAAAATGTTCCTGTCTTACTTCAAAAGATTGTATACAAATGTTGCTTAGCTGTTTGCCATTCAAATAATAGACTGGTCGTAGTTATCCAAGGAAGAAACCCATTATCTCATTTCCACAGTTTCAAGCTTCAAATATTTTATTAGTTCTTAGTTGTTGTACGTTTTGTTGGTTTGGGTTGTTTTTATTCTGAGGCTCTGCCAAATAAATGATCCTGGAAGTTATTATGGGTAAAACAAAACAAACAAGCATCTAACACATAAACAAATATAGGGGCATTTTGAATTACGTTTACTTAGATCTAAAAAAACAGCCTTCCAAAACATAGAGTTAACACGTGCTGACAATGTCATGTTAAAGTCCTAACTTCATTACCTAGAACACATTGCTTCTCTATTAAATATGAAAATTGTTATGTCTCTAATATCTGCTTTCATTATCACCTAATCCCATTATAGAATACATTACATTTTTAACTGCGTGGCAGAGCTGGCTTCAGTACAGTTTATAGAGCCAAATAGAATATCATTAAAATCAAATTAAACCATCTACTGGTAGGCTAAATCTACTTAGGCACATCAGGTTTTAAAGAAAGCAGAATCGCAGGCCAGCATGAGAAAGAACTGTTGAGTTTCTGCAGTATTCTAAACCAGAGAAGGATTTCAAGGTGCTCAGCTAAGCCAATTATTCCTCATTTAATTGGCCGTGCTATTTGCAATGAACATCCCTTCAATAAATGGCTCGCTATAGGCATATTGACTTAAGAACTTAAAGTAAGTTACCAAACTAGGAAAGAAAATTGTCGTCTAATGATGGAAGAACACCACAGCCTTTTCAAAGCAATCACAAGGCTATGTAAAATTATGACAATCTTTAAAGAAAAAAAAAGAAAGGATATGGAAAAGCTACCAGACTAAATTAAAATTAATAAACCACTGGAATTTAGTTTCAGGCTTTCTTGCTTAAATAATTTAAAACTCAAAATAGCAAGCCATAGGTATACATATACAACTCACAATATGGAAGAAAGTTGACTTGGGAATAAGGCACTTTAATGCACACCATACACGCGGCACATCAGTGTATCCTGTTCTCAGGATCTATTGGCACTTTGATAGAAACGAATAATGAGAAAATCTGCTGAAAAATGAAAAGCAGTAACACAAATCAATTTCAACAAAAGAGATAATTCAAATCTATCAGAGAAAAAAGTGACTGTTTTCCAAAGACTCTGGAACACGAAAAGAAAAAAAGAGAAGCTGTTGGTTTGCTACTGCCAATTTCACATAAGGTGGATGTGAAATGACTACGTAATTAGGCTGCTTAAGTACTTTGTAAGTCAAAGTAACTTTCCGAATGAGTTGTTTATTACTCATATAACTCTCCATAACTTTGTTTTCAGTTATTCTATTGAGGTGTGCATTTTCTTTTTAACTTCTTTTTTTTTTCACCTCCCATCAGGAGCTAAAATTGCTTCTGTCTGTTACCCCAAAGATCCATCTTGCCTTTGTACCCTCAGTAGTTAACGACACCAGGTGAGAAGCTGGAAGAACACATAATTTACTGATTCTTAGACAATGAGTCTCCATCAGATTTGGATTCTGTCATTACTTCCACCAATACCTTTTTACCAATCCAGGTTATAGTACAGGATGGAAAACTGGCACTGTATAGGGGTCAAGGTGATATCTTTTTCTTTAATAATTGTTTGTTTACAAAGAATCTATGTCTCTAGGCTTCTATGGAGTTCCAGAGATCACAAAATTAATCATGCATTTAAAGGAAGCATAGTTCAACTACAGCAATTGCAATAGACTGTGTAGGGCTTGGTTGATTTCTAAAGCAGTGTAAGCCAACACTATTATGGGATTACCAGAACCAACACATAAATAAGGGGCAGTGTCTTTATTTGCAATAGTAAAGGCATAATGTCCTATGTCTGAAACGGAATAGTCTCCCCCAATGACTGAAGATGAGTCCCAGGCTCTGAAAACATTCACAAGAGTGCTGGGAGAATAAAGTGAATGCCAGCTATATTCAAATAGCTGAAGGATCATCACAGGAAAGGAAATGTTGGTTTCTTCTGTGTGCTCCCACAGGAAAAATGTAAAATGAATGCAGGTAAACGTATCATTCCTTGCAAAAGAATTATCTGAATGTCAGAGCCTTCCAGAAATAGAAAAGGTGTCCAAATTTCCTCCATAGACATAGTGAGACCCAGCTGGTAGTGCTCTATCCTGTCTGATGCTGGAGGTCTGACTTTAGGGCCAGGTGTAGCGCAATGTCTGGATTCCACAGGCAGTGATGATGCAATAGCACTTAATCCTTGGAGATCCAACTCTTCCTTTTTATATCAGAATATATATTACATTATTAGATAATATAATCTACCTACTCAATATTTTTTCATTAGAAAAAAAGTCCTCATTACAGTATAAACCATAAAAGGATTTTATAGTTTGTAAAAATTGTTTATAATAAAATAATAGTAGTTCAGAAGGTAAATGCTTAGGCCAAGAAGATAATGAGAAGAGAGATACAATGCAATGTGTCATATCAGTTATTCAAATACCAAAAGCAGTGTAGCCATCATATTATGGTTTGTTTGAACAGCACACAATGCTTGGTAAAATATGGAAAGCAACCAAGTAGAGTCTTGTTTCCACTTACATGGTAGTTGCATTTTCAAAAAGTTTACTGTATAACAAAACCATGGAAAAATAATTTTCAATATATAGTAGACTTATTTTCCAAACCTGGAAAATTATATACAGGATTTTCACTTACGGGACTGGTTTAAAGGATATTTGAAGGGCTTTAAGGATTAAAGACATCTCTGAGCAATGCAGAAAGTCTAGTTACTTTAATATCCAAGCACTACAAGGTCATGACACCCACTCAACAGAGTCATACAGAAATGTTAGTGTTGCATTTCCAAAATG